TCCAACTAAGAGGTCCAGGGTTCGAGTCTTTGTGTATGCGTTGTGTGTGTGAGTTTGCCTTAAATGGCCTAAATGTCCCAAAAAAAAAAAGTTTAATTTTTTTAATGTAAATTTTTATTCATGCAAGAGGGTGGTATCAAGATTTTAATGTGTTTCAAATAAAATAACAACAGCAACAACATCAAGCCATTTTCTCATTATCTGGGGTCGGCTACATGAATCATTTTTCTCTATTTTGTCATGTTAAGAGGTAAACTTTCATTTGAATCTAATAAAAAATATCATTTCTAATATTTTCTAATCAAATATTTTTGAGTATATCTCTATCATTTTTAATATAAGTCAAATCTAATACATGTTTTCCTAACAGGGTCAACACATGGCCGTCATTTTATATGACCAAACCAACTATAGCGGTTCTCTCTAATATTATCTTCCACTAGAGCCGCTCCATCCTTTTCACGTAAATGTTATTTTGTATTCATCTTTAAGAGTCAAGTCACTCATCCACCTGAGCACCCTCATCTTTGTAACACTTAACTTAATATTATGCTTCTCTTTTAATGACCAACATTACGACATAATGCATTGCAGGTCTAACCATCATCTTATAGGTTTTTCCCTTAAGTTTGAGGGGGGCTTTTATATCACACAACAAGCCTCCATTTCAACCATCCAACTTGAATTCTAATAATAATATCCACATCTATTTCACCGTCACTCTGAACAATAGACCTAGGATATCGAAAGTGTGTACTCTTATTAATGAGTTGATCACCGAAAGTCATAATACCCCCCTAGATCTATTATTACTAAATTACACTCCATAAATTCACTTTTAGATCAACTAAAACGAAAACCTTTAGCCTCTAATATTGTCTTCCACAATTCAATTTTACCTTCAACTCCCTCTATAGTCTTATCAACAAGAAGAATATCATCAGCAAAAGCATGTACCAGGGTACAACCTCTTGCAAATGTATAGTGACAACATTCATAACTAAAGCAAAAAAGATACGAGCTTAAGGCTGATTCTTGATGTAATCCAAATGAAATAGAATTTTACTTAGTCAAACCACCTTATGCTTGAACTAGGGGTGTATGTGAGCCGAGACAGCTCGAGCTCTACTCGTTAACAAGCTCATGAGCAGAGCATAATGAGTCACGAGCTCAAGTTTAAGCTTGATGAGGCGAAGCTCGTGAGCTTGAGAGCCGGCTCGAAACACTATTAATATTTTTTAAATAATTTTTATTTTATTTATTAAATTTGAATATTATTAAAATTTAATAATAAAATATATTTTTTATCCCGCCTAAATCTCAAATTCACAATTCGAGGCGGACAACATGCGTAAGCGTGTTTTGAGGTAGAACACACTAGGCTCGAGGTAGACCACGCGTGTTGGAGTTTGTGGACCGCGTGCGAAAGACAACCGGATCACGGAAGATGCCGGTGGCTAGCCGGCTCGACAGCTCGAGTACGTTTACAATGGGACGAGCCGAGCTCGAGCTAGCCTTTTGAGTTCAATTTTAAGTCCAAGTTCGAGCTGATTTTTTAACTGACAAGCCAAGCTCGATAATGCCACTACTCAACCCCACTCGACTCGTTTACACCTTTAATTTGAACACAAGTGACAACTCCTGCTAACATATCAATTAGACTTGAATATAAACATTATTAAACTCTTTCTTTTTTAGAACTCTCTATGGCACTTTTCCTGAAATTTTATCATATGTTTTCTCTAAATCAATAAGTATCATATGTAGATCCTCCTTATTCTATCTCTACTTCTCCCTCAGATATCTCAATAAATGTATAGCTTCCATAGAAAACCTATTAAGCATGAATCCAAAGTGATTTTGAGAAACATTGTCGTTTTTTAGGTCCAAGTCCCAGATGAGAAAAGTGGAGAGTTATGTTAAGTAGTCGATAGTCAGCGTAAAACTTGTTGCATAATTATGACATGAATCATTTAATATATTGTGTTTCCCCAAAAAATACAAAATTTAAAATTAAATAAAATTATCTCAAACTTTCAAACAACAGTATGCATTATTATTAATTCAACGACACCAAATTGAATGATTAATAGGATATTATGATTATTGATATATCATCAAAAAATTATCTTGACCACGCAGGAATCTCGAGGCAAAATCAAGCCGAAAACTTCAAAAATTAAATCTGGGATCACCTAAACTCTGATTTCAACAAACTTATAGTCAAATTAAGCGTCTCGGAAATACGAATCCAACGACACCAAATTAGATTCAATCCAAGCCCAAATGAGTCCAAATCAAGGACCCGAAGTGTTGTCTCCCTTTGAATCAAATTTTTTATTGCCATAATGATAAGTTCCTATTTTTATCAATGATACAGTTCGGATCCTAGATGGAAAAATAGAAGAAGGTACATACCTTCGCTTCATCGAAAGAAATGATATTTTTGTTTTTGGGGGATAGGGTACAAAAAAACAAGAATTCACTAAATTAACCAAATTTTCCTTGGAAAGTTCGAACCACAGTTTGAGTTACCAAATGGTTTCCAAATATAACGTGCTTATAGTCGAATTGAGCGGCTCGATGAGACAAATCCAACGAGCCCAAGATCTCAAAATTCTGACATTATTAAAATCTTCAAATATTTGACGAATGGTACATGATCAAGAGATTCAACATCGGTCGTCCATCCAACAACTCTCTGTTTACCCCTGATCTCTCATCTATGTACAGGTCATGCCACTACAAAAATCTATAAATAGACCCCTCATTTCTTTTGAGAGGGGACCCAAGCAAGAAGAATAAGAGAAGAAGGAGAAGAGAAGAGGAAAAGATTATGAGGGAAGAAACTCCTCGGCCATCGACGCAGGAATTCTGTCCGACTTCCAAATGACGCCGAAATTTTGCCTGACTTCCAAACAACGCCGGAATTCTGCCCGATCTCCAAGTGAAACCGGAACTCTGCCCGACATTGTAACTTGATTTCAATCCAGAAGTGATTCATTGTAATATGATCATCCTAACTTTTACGGACGAGTCAGTCTCTTGTATCTCAAGCAAATACTAGTGAAACTTTTTCAACTGGGCATGACCCCGTAGTTTTTTTTCCTTTTCAGGATTTTTCATGTAAAAATCATGGTGTTCTTTCATCTTCTGTTTGTGTGCTGAATATCCGTACAACGCTAAGACGAATACTTTCTTACTCTATCGTCGCGTATATTCTAGCCCGCAACAGTTATAAAAAACTATATTAAGTTAAATTGGGTCAAATTAATTGAATCAACGTAGCCCAATTTCCTTTCATCGTCTTTTAACACCCCTTAAATCCCTTCGAAAATCAAGTGTATGGGATCAAGAGAAGGATAGAAAGACACCAAGGCACCTTGTAAGAGAGCAAGCAAGCATAAGAGAGTGGCGAGCGAGTAAGCCAAGCGGTATAGCCGTGTAGGCAAATAGTAGGACTCAGGGCAATGCAAGTGCAAGGAAGAGGGGAGGAGAAGATATTCTCTCATAGGGCACAAATCATGCAAGCAAGTGCAAGGAAGAGGTCTCAACTTCAACAATTTTGGTAGATTTTACAAGGTTTACAATTATTTTATTCTTCTACAATATTTTTTTAATATAAATTTTGTGGAGAGTCACATGTTGAAATAAGGATGATTGGAAAAAAAGATATTGGCATCGATATTTTTTACGTCAAGAAAAACTGTGGCAACAAATAAAGAAAATTGAGCGTCTAAGTATAAATTTAATATATATTAAATTAATCTAATTTTAAAATATTAACAAGAACTATAAAGCTAATTGGATCTTAGATCTTCTTGCTATATCATTCCAAAGAGTCCTTATTGTCTTCTGGTTGATTAATTTAAGCTTAGGCACTTATGCATCACCTTTTTCTTGACCAACAGGTTTTGGACACTCTCTTGAAAGATCAATTGATCCAAAGTATTTTCAATATTTTAAATTTAAAATTTGCCTCATTAATATGACAATATAGAAGGTAAATTTATATATTTTTGAAAAAGAAAAAGAAATCAGGACATCTACAGTGGCCTACCTTCTACTAAAGATTTTTTTGAGATAATTGCAGTTTTTTTTTTTAAACGGGAGTACCTACATGCTGCCACCCCTATAGAGGAGGTGTTCGACGGAGTAATTAATCCCTCGGCAGGCCTAGTGGTAAACAGCCCCACAGGTGTCAGACCACGTACTTATTTTCTCCCAACTTAAGGAGTCGCGCCGCACGAGAGACGAATCAAATATAAATTGGCGGGTTCCCAACTACGCTCGCCCATCAACCCAGCCCATCAACCCAACTAAGCCTAATAATTGTAAAAAAAAAATATTGCAGCTTTTCTAAAAATGATTGTAAAGTTATTATTGAAAAGTATTTTTTAAAAGTTATTATAGCACAAAATTTATAGAAAATAATGAATAAATAAAAAGTATAATTATAATTTAAAAATTAAAACAGTGAGAAAATTGTTTAAAAAAGCTTAAACTAAAAAGCATAGGCTGTCACATATTAAAAAAAAAAAAGTTCAGCTACGGCCCACAGTACTTTAATGGCACTTATATATAAAATAGTGAATGCTTTACCTGAATTGAAATCTCGTGGAAAATCTGCCAAGTTTTCCTCTTTCAAATTTCATTAATGTCGGTGACGTTCGTCCTTTAATGGCGTTTAAATA